GTGCCTCACACGGCTCCGGGGGGTGAACAAAGTCCTCCTGTAGCGAATCGATGTGTTTTTGTAAGAAAAATAGCCTTATTTAAAACGTAATAATCAGTTTAATCTAGCTTGCGCTCTCTGTTGTATACAGAAGCAGTTCCGGGCGGATGACGTATGAGGTCTGCGTTGCGCATGCGCCGCTCAGAAGTGACGAACGCAGAAGTGCAGGGGAGAGATCAAAACAAAACAACGGTCACTTATTAGAAGTACAAAACGAGGATTTGTAAAGAAGAATGTTGGAGGATTTGGATATAAGCCAAGAGGAGACTGGTTTTCCTTTGTTAAAGTAAGGAAACTTTGCTTCCTTTGCTCCTGTTAACAAACGTTGGTTTTCACGAGACTCACCGGCGCAACGCTGAACTCATACGTCATCAGCCCGGAGCTGCTTCCGTGTACAACTGTTGGCGCAAGCTACATTAAAGTGATTATTATGTTTTGAATATGGATATTTTTCTTACAAAAATGCATCAATTCGCTACAGGAGGCCTTTGTTCACCCCCCGGAGCCGTGTGAGACACTTTTTTTTATGGATGGGCGATTTTTATTTAACTTCTTTTGGACTGATGCATGCAACACCCGCTGAGTGGCATTAAAATATCACCCCAGCAGAAAGAGCCTCTTACAAACTCTTACAGATTTGAAAGCAAAAAGTGCTAGCTCTGTTCCAAAACCTAGTGAGCTGCCTTCTAAAAACTCGTGCACGCTAGAGTAAGCTAGAAGACTTTGAAGGAAAGCAGAGACTTTGATGCTAGGAATGCGTAAAATTCCTTATGAGGGCATGGAAAGAGCAATATCAATTTAAAATAAAGTCGACGGGCGCAGAAAAACAATACTTTACTTGAAATTATCATTGGTCAATGGATGCCCGTGTCACAGTATGTCACAGCAAAGATTTTGTTTTTAAATTGTTTAAAATTTGCATTTGCAGATTTCACCTCAGCTCCAAGATAAAATTCTCAAAATAGATGTTCTCAATCGGTGCTAGCTGTAGTACCAAGTACCGTTTGTGTATCCATCGCTACCTGTTACCAGAGGCTTGGTTAGCTAATTTTTTATTATTGTTAAAATATAATGATTACAGCATCTCCCAAAAAGTGGGGTGGATAAAAAATGGCTGACATTTCTACAAATGGTTTACACAACCCCTGTTCCTTACTGAAATGCAGCCTCACAAGTGACTGATTTGGAACCTTCTACTATAAGCACACAAATGACGCTCCGCACATGAAGCGCATGGGGGACTTGGCAATTGATTTCAATTGAGTTTAACGTTTTCAAGTTGCTAAGCTAATGACACAGTACTTTATTAAGTAAAATAAGGCCTAGTAGACACAAATATTGGACTCCACCATTTTTCAGTGAGCTCAGTGCAGTGCATTCTGGGATTGCCTTCACTGTTAAGGATAGATGCATTGCTAAATTTTAATTTAGGCATAATTAGACAGCCGAGAAGCCAGCATAATGTTATTGCCAGCAGGCCTCTGCTGCATGCAGTAAAATGCTGTCTAGGTAGGGCACTATGTTTTGGAACAGACCTAATTGTCTAATTGAAAGCTACCTAAGCTATTTGGTGTTGAAATTCGTCTTAAGTCATAAATCCAAAATGGACTTAAAGGTTGTAGAGCACACTTACAGCAATTCTCTGCATCTGTTCTCAAAGCACATTTGGTGCATTGTGCAACAGAGCCGTGCATTTCCTGGAGTGATGCAGGGGTTGCGATAAGGAAGAGTTTATTTTGTGCTTGTAAAGGGTCTTATATAGCAGTGCATGTGAAACTAGGCTTCCTGTGTTCCAGGGTGCAGCAAATCAATTCCACCTTTTTGGGAATATTTTCTGCCCGAAAGACAAAACACCCCAGCTAACGTTCTGGACAGGTTCTCTTTGTTGTTCTTGTGGGGAGGGGGAGTGACGTTGTTGCATGTTCTCCTCAAATGTTTCTTCCAGAGCCTTCTGTTATTTTGTAGTCTTTTATTCATTTTACAGTCAAAAGAATATCCAAGGAATGTGCCAGAAAACCCAACAAGAAAATATGTAAAAAAGGAGGTATGTAAGCAAGCCAACATTGGAGCAATATACAGAGAAGTGAGCGACTGGTACGTCCTCTCTCGTACCAACGGGATTTCTCCGTCAACTACAGAGTTTTGTGCGCAGAGCAACATTAAAAATGCCTGTATATTTCTTTCAACATTTTTTTTTTTGTGTGTGAATATGTGCTATTTCAAATTGCTATACAGTGTGTATGTAGACAATGTCCAGTTATACTGGTGTACATAAGTCATTCTGGAGTCATTCTCATGAAACGGTGCCATTTGTGTTTGTATTTATCAATTTATTTATTTATTTACTTACTTACTTATTGATATATTTTTGTCATTTAATTTGAAAAGGTTAATGGTATTTAAAAAATATTTTGTTACCTAATTCTGCCACACAAAAATGTGAATAACCCGTTATAATTCTTTTAAAAATATGTTTGGTTTTCACATGTTCAACCCTGTTACATTCAACAACTTTAAAAATGCCACAGGCTGATGATCAGTGCAAAAAAAAAAAATAAAATAAAAAAATAAATAATAATAATAATAATAATAATAATAGTAATCACTTTTTACTTTTTTGACAACCATATGATGTTTTTGACCATGGAAAGTTCATACTATTATATTTAAATGGGCAAGCATCTTAGCAGAACATGGTTGAATAGAAAGTTAAAATTAAACATTAACATTATGTAGCTTGCGCCAACAGTTGTACACGGAAGCAGCTCCGGGAGGATGACGTATGAGGTCGGCTTTGCGCATGCAAAGTGACAAACGCAGAAGTGCAGGGGAGAGATCAAAACAAAACAACGGTCACTTATTAGAAGTACAAAACGAGGATTTGTAAAGAAGAATGTTGGAGGATTTGGATATAAGCCAAGAGGAGACTGGTTTTCCTTTGTTAAAGTAAGGAAACTTTGCTTCCTTTGCTCCTGTTAACAAACGTTGGTTTTCACGAGACTCACCGGCGCAACGCTGAACTCATACGTCATCAGCCCGGAGCTGCTTCCGTGTACAACTGTTGGCGCAAGCTACATTAAAGTGATTATTATGTTTTGAATATGGATATTTTTCTTACAAAAATGCATCAATTCGCTACAGGAGGCCTTTGTTCACCCCCCGGAGCCGTGTGAGACACTTTTTTTTATGGATGGGCGATTTTAATTTAACTTCTTTTGGACTGATGCATGCAACACCCGCTGAGTGGCATTAAAATATCACCCCAGCAGAAAGAGCCTCTTACAAACTCTTACAGATTTGAAAGCAAAAAGTGCTAGCTCTGTTCCAAAACCTAGTGAGCTGCCTTCTAAAAACTCGTGCACGCTAGAGTAAGCTAGAAGACTTTGAAGGAAAGCAGAGACTTTGATGCTAGGAATGCGTAAAATTCCTTATGAGGGCATGGAAAGAGCAATATCAATTTAAAATAAAGTCGACGGGCGCAGAAAAACAATACTTTACTTGAAATTATCATTGGTCAATGGATGCCCGTGTCACAGTATGTCACAGCAAAGATTTTGTTTTTAAATTGTTTAAAATTTGCATTTGCAGATTTCACCTCAGCTCCAAGATAAAATTCTCAAAATAGATGTTCTCAATCGGTGCTAGCTGTAGTACCAAGTACCGTTTGTGTATCCATCGCTACCTGTTACCAGAGGCTTGGTTAGCTAATTTTTTATTATTGTTAAAATATAATGATTACAGCATCTCCCAAAAAGTGGGGTGGATAAAAAATGGCTGACATTTCTACAAATGGTTTACACAACCCCTGTTCCTTACTGAAATGCAGCCTCACAAGTGACTGATTTGGAACCTTCTACTATAAGCACACAAATGACGCTCCGCACATGAAGCGCATGGGGGACTTGGCAATTGATTTCAATTGAGTTTAACGTTTTCAAGTTGCTAAGCTAATGACACAGTACTTTATTAAGTAAAATAAGGCCTAGTAGACACAAATATTGGACTCCACCATTTTTCAGTGAGCTCAGTGCAGTGCATTCTGGGATTGCCTTCACTGTTAAGGATAGATGCATTGCTAAATTTTAATTTAGGCATAATTAGACAGCCGAGAAGCCAGCATAATGTTATTGCCAGCAGGCCTCTGCTGCATGCAGTAAAATGCTGTCTAGGTAGGGCACTATGTTTTGGAACAGACCTAATTGTCTAATTGAAAGCTACCTAAGCTATTTGGTGTTGAAATTCGTCTTAAGTCATAAATCCAAAATGGACTTAAAGGTTGTAGAGC